TTTTTGTTCTGATTTTTTCCTACTGATTTAGTAGGCAACACATGGTGGGTTGACTGGTAAGAGACGTTTAGATGTAGAACTTAGGGATATGGTTTAGTGGGGACTGTTAGTGTTAGGTCAGAGGTTGGACTCGATGATCTTGAGGTCTCTTCCAACCTAGAGATTCTGTGATTCTGTGTGATAGGTCCTGTTCACTAATAAATGACTGCTGTGGAGTCGGTCAAAGAAGAAAAAGTGTCAACTTGATCAGCTGATGATAACCAGATGTGACACAGCTAAAAAATACTTGGATTAAACCTGCAAACATGGAGATAGCATGGTCTTTCTGAGAACGGACAATAAGGGTGGTGCTTTGCAAAAAAGACTAGTAAACTGTACAGAGACTAAGGTTGTATACCACTTCTGTGAAATCCTGCTGTATTGAAATCAGCAGTTATTTTTGCCCTTTTGTTTCACCAAGACCTATATTACACCCAAGGCAGACGCACAAGAACCTACTAGTCTCCCCAGTGCTTTAAGAAATGTTACTGAGGCAACAAACAATTCTCATTTTTTCTCCTCTCCTTGGTTGAATAGGTACTGTAGATCTTTTTTTGCTACTGAAAATAGTAATGATACTCAGTACTGCTTTTCTTTTCTCTGAGACTTTGAAAGTTAGTGCTCCATGCTCATTTTAAGACTGTTGCAAGCATGGCCCAAAGAAGTTTTAAAGGACTTGTCTAAGATAAAAAACTCCCTACACTGAGATAAATAGACCCCAACTATTCTGCCTCCTTAATATTATGGGTCCCATTGCCCTTATCAGTGGTTCTGCAACATGTTTCTTTAAGTAAATTTTAAAATTTAGAAGAAAGTGGCTGTCTTGTGACTAATTAGTGTCCCCAGCTTGTATGAATTTTATATATAAATCCCCATTGTCTGTCATGTATTCTCTATACTTTTTTACTAACACTGAAAGGCTATCCTGTCATCAAGTGTTGCCCAACCAGAAAAGGTCAGCAGCACAACTAGCAAAGAAAGTAGGAGAGAATGGGTCACTCCTTGCCATCAGCTGAAGACATAGAAGGATGTCTATAGTTTAGCAGTTTCCTTAAGTAAAAAGATTTAATTGAAACTCAACCTGCATAAGTCAGATTGACTCAGCTTTACTTATTAGCTAGTTTGGTTGGTTATTTTTGAATGTAAACAAAAATGATGTGTCCCAGAATATTAGTAAATGAGCTGCAGCTTGGCTGTCTCCACAGCATAGGCCCTGAGCGGGCAGCAGAAGTGTAGTTGCCACTACAGGCATTGACTGACATTTGTGACGGGTTTTTGCCAAAATCATCCTTTCTTCAACCATTCACTTTGCTAGTTAAGCCTTATGCATTTTTGCATTCAGAGTCTTTTGCAGATAGGATGTGGTGGCTTTCTTGGCTAGCTATTGTCTTGCCCATCTCCTCTGAAGTGCTGGCTTTCCTCTACAGGGTAATATTGCTCTAGAATTGGTGAAGCTGAAATGGACTGACACCACTGAGAACTGCTAGCTGCTTCTTTTATTTCTATCACTATTCAGACAGCACTGCTATGTCATCCACAATCTTTTCATTTACTTCCCTTCATTCTTATCTGACGCCCTTATTAGAGTTTTCAATTGATTTCTGCTACTGCGTCACCCAGTCAATTGCAACTCTGTGCAGTGCAAGGTTTAAGAAAAAAAAAATGCTGCCGTGGTTCCTATGTGGGCTGTCTATAAGCTGTTCAGTATTCCCTGCTGTTTGTTTTCACATAAGATTCAGCATGGTTTCTGGCAAAGCCAATGATCTCAATAACGAAGTTGCAGTGGTAGGATCACTATGGAGATTTCTGTCTGTTTCTCTTGCCCAAGCTCCTTGAAAAAGTGAGGAAGTTGATTATCACACTGTTTTCAGTACTTAGCACTGCTCTGTATTATGTCAAGTTGTATCAGGCTGGGAAGCTTCATACTGTCTATGCTCAGACATCTATTTCCAAAGGCATCAATTAACAAATTATCAATCCCACCTCATGAGATGATTGAGAAAGTTTACTGTATTTTTGTTATCATAGAAACTTATATCATCTGGTACTTTTCATCTAAAGAGCCTACTACTTCACTGGAGGCAGTGAAATGTTAAAACCTGTTATTTACAGAAATAAGCTGAGAAGCAGAGGAATTAAGTAAATGTTTGGCCTCACATACTGGTCTGCTCAAGAACAAATTTTAAAATAAAATTATGGGATCCAGGTTCTTAGCTCTCATTTCAAAACACCAAATCACTTTAATTTGTTTGTTTGTTTTTGGTTTTTGTGTGTGTTGTTACTTCACATGCTTTCCACTCATTAAAAAATACCACACCTATTTCAGTGGTAATGTATGGTTGAGACCTTCAAACTAAGAAAATTCAACATTTTCTTCTAAGACAGCTTCAATCAAAAATGAATTGTAACTGGCCTTAGAGATTAATATTGCAAACTAACAGCTAAATTAAATGCACAGCCTAGTTCTGGCAACTCTATTCATGAAAACAGTCCCTTTTTGTTTAGTGGTGCCATGTTCAGAGAGACACATTCCTGGCATAGCCTTGTTAAAATTTGTAATATGTGTTAATTCTCCACCCTTAAAAAAAAAAGAAAAAAAAAAAAAGTTGTGTAAAGGACTAACATCATTCCTCTTGTATCCTTTCTAGTGAATCAGTTCAGTTAGTTTCTTGTGAAGACTGTCTGGAGGCATGGGTGGAAAACACATGTGCAATCTGACTTTTATGATAAACTGCCTGAAAATGATGACTGAATAAATATTTTTGAAAGTGAGCAAAGTGCATTTACTTGCCCTTTAAATCCACTTACAGAATTGGCACCAGTTTTCCTTTTTGTTTGGTTTCCTCATTCTGTCATGTTAAGGAGTGACCTGTGCTGCTAGTATCTGTCAAACTCCCTCCTGTACTGGAAACATACTGCAACTTATCCCATTGGAGAAACTCAGGCATACTGTATTCAAATCTTACTTTTGCTGAAGATACATACCTGCAGCTCATCAGGCTAATGCAATGAATAATTAGGAGTATTTAGAATGAAATCTAGCAAATCACTAAAACCAAACAAGAGGTTTAGAAACAAACAAAAAACATACCAAACAAAAAACAGTGATCACAAATGGTGAATTTCTTTACTGAATATCATGCAGTTTGAAAGAAAAGACCCGTAGGAATAGATGCTATTGCCTGGGAGAAGAATAGGGAAAGACGGTGGTGACCTGCAGGTTTGCTCATGGGTACTATGGGTCCCTGCAGATATGCAGGACACCTATTCATTGTTTGTCTAAAGATTTGACTCAAAGATCCAGCTCTGTTTTTGGCTTTCAGTGCTGGACTGTCAGTCCAGCCAGTTTCTATCTTCTAAGGGTTGGAAGATATATTTTGCTGTCTATTATTCCCACACAGAAATCAGCCACATTGGTAGGCAGACATGATGGGTTTTTAAAGCATGTTCCTTTTGTGGCAGGATGACAGGACTGGCCATGTGGAGTAAGGGCTTAAGAAGACATACCAAAAGGAAGCTTGGCATTACCTTTTAATGCAGGAATAAGTGGTACTGGGGCAGAGAGTATTTTACTGCAAGGGAAACCAACAGCAAAAAGTTTGTAGAATTGCATTGAGTGAACACAGCACATCTTTTTGACTTATGACAGTCAGATTTCTGTAGCACTGAACACAACTCAAGTGGCTGCATGCACAAGATGATGACTCCCACAGTGCCTGGCAGGATTTCACTAGCATGGTTTTACACCCATTCTTCTTACAACAGAAAATGCAGCAGAAGTTTTCAACAGTACAACTCTTTTTCTCTCTTTCCCTTCTTGTCATGTACTTGTAGGTCTCTGTTGCTGTTAAATGTCTCGCACCTTTAAGCTATCATGTAAGAAGTAGCCTGTGTAACTAGGCTATTCATGCTGTATACTTTGTCTAGGTTTTTCAGAAATGTTCTGATTTAATATTTGTTCTTACACATGTGGGGGAAGGAGAACTACAAGTGCTGTAAAACACCCCAAAGATAATTATCAGTTGAAATTCACTATCATAATAATAAAAGTATGAAAATATAAAATTGTATTTTATTTCTCCATGTTACTTCCTCAGTTTCTTTCTTTCCCCCAGGGGTACTGTGGCTAGCAGCGACACTTCTAGTAACATAGGATGTTTCCAAACACCTCAAACTACATCAATAAATGGAAGCTGAGGAATGAACTAAAATATTGATCTTTGTCTCACAAATACCACGATTTCTACAGAGATGCTCAAGAAATGGCCAGAGTGATAGGTGCTCTTTACAATCCCAGGTGAGCTAGATGCAGCACCTCCAAGAGGCAGGCAGAGCTGTTCTGAGTCTCTGCCTGAGAGATCAGGTTGCAGCAAAAGGGCTGCTTGGGTGCTACCAGTCCCAGCCCACTTCGAGAAGTGGATCCCCAAAAAGTAAATTTTTACCATCACCTTCCAGGGTGGAAACATGCTGTGACTTAGAGAACTGCAGAGCTGTATGTGAGCTGTGACAATTTAATGTTTCTACTACAGTAGATTTTAGGCAGACTGTCACCATCTCTATTAGTAACTCCACAGCATCCAGCCAATAGTGCTGACACCAAGGTTTTGCTGTGCTTCACAATTCAGGGCTTTTTTTTTTTTTTAATTTTTTTTTTTTTTTTTTTTTTGGTCAGAATGTTGCAAAACCCAAGATAAGTTAAGTTAATTAGTAACAAAACAACAACAACAACAAAGACAAAACAAAATGAAAACCACAACAGTAAAAAAAAAAAAAAAAAAAAAAAAAAAGGCTAAAAAAGGCTTTAAGTTGCAGATAAAGCATCAAAGGCCCTTCCAAAAATGTTTCAAACACCTCTCCTCACCCCTGACAGGAAAACTCCAAGGTGTCATTGCCAAGGACGGTGGGCTGGTATCTATTACCCCGGGCCTGTTTGTAGGCCTTGGCAGTGGGTGAGTGGGCAGGCCTCGAGTGCATGGTGTGATGATGGGACTGCAGGACTGCTGTGCTGGGCTCTGCCTGAGGTGCCCGCGGAGCCTGCTGCAGTGGCTTCTCCAGCCCTGCGCAAGCAGATGTCCATGGGAGGATTCCCGAATCTGTAATTGCACACAGTAAGTGCAAATGTTTAATTAATCAGGTCTCGTGTCCTTGTTATCCCCTCGCTGGGTTTCACTAATAATGACCCAGAGGAAAATTCTGCTCCTGTCTCTGAATTATATTTTATTTACAAGGGTTTCATTTCTTAGGTGATTTTTGTCTCTCGTTCTTGGGTAGGACTACCAACAGGAAAATAAAATTCTGATGTCCTTTAAAAGAAAAATTTGTGACTGGCCTGAAATTCAAAACCAGGGCCAGCTTTGTGCTACCTCACATGATTCCTTTAGCAGAATAAATTAGAATAACTTAGCACTTAATACCTCTCTTGCCTCACATTTGCAGAATGCACAAATATTTGGCTGTAATCCTATCGCTAAAGCTGAAAGGAAAAGAAAAGGCTTGAAGGAAATGCTGCTGTGACAGAGGAAGGAAAGCAAGCCCTTGCAAGCAGGTTTGTAACAAATAAGAAGGGTTAAGTAGTGGAAGGGTTGCTGGGGCACCAGAGCAGAGCTCAGGCCCTGTCACTGATAATGCCTCAGCCATCCCACAGCTGGTCTCTGGAAATAAAGTGTTAAAAAGGATATTGTTTGCATTAAGGGGCTGAATTTTCCACCGGGTAATCATCAGTGAAACCCAGTGAAGGGCAAATGAGGATGGTAGGCCTGATTAATTAAACATGTGCTACGGTGCTAAGAGCAAGATTTATGCTATTGGTTTTACAACCATCATCAGTATTAATACTGCTGGTAGAAATTTTGAGCTGCTGTTTACTGTTTTCATTTTTCACTGTAAAACTGTTGTTAAAATTATGAACAAGGGGTTGTGGAGTATTGCAGCAGCATTGTGGTCTCTCTGTAACTGTTTCTTCTGCTCCACAGAGGAGTTCTAGCAGTGATGCTATCAGGTGCTCTGCTACACTATTTCCATTAAAATCTACAATTCTGAAGGCTTTTAAACCTGACTACAACAATTTGCTTTGGGCTAAAATCCACCTTATAAAGATCTCCATCGAAGATACTTTTATTTGCTTATGTGTACATGAGTTCAATCCCATTTATACTCAATATTATATAGAACTTTCCAAAAAAAATGGAGAAAAATAACACTGTATGCATTTTTAAGTTATAGGAATGCAAATACTTATCTACCAGTGATCTCTGAAGCTGTACATATGCTAATGTATGACATTACATTCTGCATCTGTTCAACCCTGAAAAAGACAAGTGCCATTGCAAAGCCTGGAGCAGAACAAAATAAAATTGGGGGATAACAAGGGCTACTGTACATGGACACTTTCTCCTCTAAGCCAAAGGAGGCTTTTATAAAGGTGTTAAGTATTTTCATCACTGCAGATCGATATGCAGCACATTCAAGAGGTATCTATTTCATAATGTGTTTGTACAGTAGAAATTGAATGCTCTTGCACTATAAACACTATTTCAGAAATGTGTTTATAGGCATTTCTGACTTTGCTCATTAATATGCCACAGGAAGCATAGCAGTAAAACCTGAAGTGTGGGGTGTGAATGTGTGTCTTGGGGTGGAAGGACGGCTGCCTGTTGCAAATAAGCTTGTTCACATCATGGAGAGCATGAATGGCAACCAGGTCAGCATCAGTTCAGATTTTATTTTCCTGATAACGCATTCATGTGTTTACTTTTCCTGTTACACTAATATGGAACATTTTGTTGGAACGATTCCTCTTCCTCTGGGATATTTTTTTTTTCCTTTCTTGACAAGAAACTCTCAGTAGTCTTGTGTAGCCCAGTAAAGTCTGTAGACTTTGCAATAACTGTGTATGGTTTCAGGATAGAAACTTGCCAGGCTTTGTGTGGGGTCTCCTTGGCCTGCCTGGAGCTTTGTTTTAGTTAATTTAGCTGTAACAGCAAATCTTCCAATGATCAGGTGACTGTTGCCTAATTTGTTTTACTTTTGCTTATCTTTGTACAATCATGGAATAGCCAGAATTTTATACAGACAGTATAGCTATTCTTTGCAGAATGCAGAATTTATGACCGTACCATAATGACATCACGCAGGGAAATGCAGGCATGGTGTGACAGCAGAGGCCTTGAAAAAGGGAATGTGGAATGCAGCACAAAGGTGTAGGGGCATGTGGTGATATGAGAGGGAGCCAGCTGGCACTGGAGACTGCAGGGCTGTAAACAATTTATCACCACCAGCTTAGAGAGACACTAATATGGGACTTGAGCAAAACTAGCCACAAGGGTAACAAGCAACAAGTATTCAACAAGTGTAAAATATACCCTATAGAGCAAATTAGGACATAACATGATTTCCAGACCAGTAAAGAAGCTGGTGGTGAACTGTAGAAGTGTGTTACACCAGTGCTGCCATGGAAGGGCAAGCATAAAATGAGAGTAAGGGGAAGATAGTTGGAAGTTTTACATAATGATATTAAACCCTATTTTTAAGGAGATTTGCTCTATATTAATCAGATCATTTGGAAGATGAGTATTAGTACTGTCCTAGATGCTTTGTTGTTGCTTAGCTATTCTGTAGGATTTTAATTACACTAACAAGAAATTCTTGGTTTCCCATATAAAGCATGCTGCCCTTTTTGCCCTGTAACAAGTTCTTGAGTGTGACATCAAAGAGTTCTTACCAGATAAGAAATTGTTCTTTGTTTGTTTTGCTAAGTGTTCCACTCTCCTGAGGGACCATACAGGAGGATTTAAGTATTACAGCACAGATAACACCTGCCTTGAAATGGTGAATCATTTAGGGGTTTTCTACAGCAAAGCCTTTCCTATGTTTGTCTTCTTAAGACAGATAGCAGGTGACAGGTTTGTTGGAAAATTCATTGTAATATATATCTTAGAATACTGAAGCTACGCCAGAGAAGGGTCTCCCTTGATCTAAACCCAGGATGTCTTAAGATTTATGGGGATCTCAGGAAGGAATAGATCTTCAAGCAAGCTCAGCAGCTCCAGGCCCACACCTGATGCTGGGGCATCATGTGAAGTTTCTTTGTGTGAAGTTACAGGTACCGAACCTCTACATGGCTGATCTGGTATCAGGAGCTCATCCCTGCACCCTCCTGGCTCTACAGCATCCCCCAGAGCTCAGTCCTGAGCAAAATCTTGGTGATGTTCCTGGCTGGGTGACAGTAAGGTGGGTTGAGAACTGGCTGACTGGCCGAGCTCAGAGGGTGGTGATAGGTGGTGCAGAGTCCGGCTGGAGACCTGTGACTAGCGGTGTTCCCCAGGGGTTGGTGCTGGGTCCAGTCTTGTTCAACATCTTCATCGATGACCTTGATGAGGGAATAGTGTCTGCCCTCAGCAAGTACGCTGATGACACAAAGCTGGGTGGAGTGGCTGACACGCCAGAAGGCTGAAGACACACCAACATGCGAACGAACTTCACGGTCAGGGTGACGGGGCACTGGAACAGGCTGCCCAGGGAGGTTGTGGAGTCTCCTTCTCTGGATATATTCAAGGCCCATCTGCACGCCTACCTGGGCAGCCTGCTCTGAGGAACCTGCTCTAAGGAACCTGCTTTGGCAGGGTGGTTGGACCCAATGATCTTTTGAGGACCCTTCCAACCCCTACAATTCTGTGATTCTGTGATTCTGTTTTATGGTCATCATACTCTCTTCATGGTAATGTCTTTATATTTTTAATGTGAAAAGCATATGCTCTCTACTCAATATCCATGGGAACAGGATGCCTTGTTCTAAACCCAAAAACTGGAGGGAGACTAGCCTGAAACCACTGAAACAATACTGGCAAACCAGAACACCATCATCATCAGGCTAGTGTCCTGGTCGGGGTCTGCTATAGACCGCCGAACCAGGATGAGGAGACGGATGAGGAGTTCTACAGGCAGCTGACAGAAGTTGCGAAATCGTCAGCGCTTGTACTCGTGGGGGACTTCAACTTCCCTGACATATCCTGGAAGCACAACACAGCCCAGAGGAAGCAGTCTAGGAGGTTTCTGGAGAGAGTGGAAGATAGCTTCCTGACGCAGCTGATTAGTGAACCTACCAGGGGTGGTGCCCTGCTAGACCTTCTCTTCACAAACAGAGAAGGACTGGTGGAGGATGTGATTGTCGGGAACAGTCTTGGGCAGAGTGACCACGAAATGGTGGAGTTCACTATTCTTGGCGGGGCCAGGAAGGGAACCAGTAAAACCACTGTATTGGACTTTCGGAGGGCTGACTTTGGGCTGCTCAGGACACTAGTTGGTGGAGTCCCATGGGAGGCGGTTCTGAAGGGCAGAGGGGTCCAGAAAGGCTGGGCGCTCTTTAAGAGGCAAATCCTAATGGCGCAGGAGCGGTCCATTCCCATGCGCCCAAAGATGAGCCAGCGAGGAAGAAGACCAGCCTGGCTCAACAGAGAATTGTGGCTTGAGCTTAGGAGAAAAAAGAGGGTTTATAATCTTTGGAAAATTGGGCAGGCCACTAAGGAGGACTATAAGGATGTAGCGAGGCTGTGCAGGGACAAGATTAGGAAGGCCAAAGCTCATCTGGAGCTCAATCTGGCTACTGCTGTTAAAGATAACAAAAAACGCTTTTATAAATACATCAACACAAAAAGGAGGACTAGGGAGAATCTCCATCCTTTACTGGATGTGGGGGGAAACTTAGTTACAAGAGATGAGGAAAAGGCGGAGGTGCTTAATGCCTTCTTTGCCTCGGTCTTTAGCGGCAAAACCGGTTGCTCTCTGGATACCCAGTACCCAGAACTGGTGGAAAGGGACGGGGAGCAGGATGTGGCCCTCACCATCCACGAAGAACTGGTTGGTGACCTGCTACGGCACTTGGATGTGCACAAATCGATGGGGCCGGATGGGATCCACCCAAGGGTACTGAGAGAACTGGCAGAGGAGCTGGCCAAGCCCCTATCCATCATTTATCAGCAGTCCTGGCTATCGGGGGAGGTCCCAGTTGACTGGCGGCTAGCGAATGTGACACCCATCTACAAGAAGGGCCGGAGGGCAGACCCGGGGAACTACAGGCCGGTCAGTTTGACCTCAGTACCAGGGAAGCTCATGGAGCAGATCCTCTTGGGAGTCATCATGCGGCACTTGAAGGGCAAGCAGGCGATCAGGCCCAGCCAGCATGGGTTTATGGAAGGCAGGTCCTGCTTGACGAACCTGATCTCCTTCTACGACAAAGTGACGCGCTGGGTGGATGAGGGAAAGGCTGTGGATGTGGTCTACCTTGACTTCAGCAAGGCTTTTGACACCGTCTCCCACAGTATTCTCCTCAAGAAACTGGCTGCTCTTGGCTTGGACTGGCGCACGCTTCGTTGGGTTAGAAACTGGCTGGATAGCCGGGCCCAAAGAGTTGTGGTAAATGGAGCCAAGTCCAGTTGGAGGCCAGTCACTAGTGGCGTCCCCCAGGGCTCGGTGCTGGGGCCGGTCCTCTTTAACATCTTCATCAATGATCTGGATGACGGCATTGAGTGCACCCTCAGTAAGTTTGCA